TGTAGGGAATGTGTGCAATGAAAGTGCACAAGTGTATGCTTTAGCAAGTATCATATTTTGGAACTTGAGCCATGCCAGGTAAGTTAGTAGTATCCCTGACAGCAGTGGAAAGATACAGCAATCTGCACAATTTGGGACCTTCTCTAGAACTACTCAGAAGTGTCTACGGTGTTTCTAAATAAATATTTTAGGATTAGAAATGCACTTTTAAAGTGCATCTTTCAGTCATAGGATCAGAGAATGATTTGAGCTGGAAGGGATTTTAAAGATCATCTAGATCCAGCGCCCCTGCCATGACAGGGACACCTCCCACTACACCAGGTTGCTCAAAGCCCCAAAGTCATTTTCATTAGTTGTGCTGTCACAAAATGGTCTCACAGGAAATGTAAGGGAGTCCTTTTAGATGATAGAATGAAACTAAGATGTGCATCTACGCTAATGCTTACTTTATTGAGTGCCCCATTTGCTGAAAGAAACATGTACTAGACAGCAGGATCCACCTGATAATTGCACCCTGTTTTTAATAAACTTCCATGATATTTGATGCAAAGCCCAGAATTCTTCTCATTGCCCACTAGATGTCACCATTGACACAGAAAAAATTGTGAGAATGTATTTTTCTGCCACTTGAGAGCAAGATTGGTTGTTCTCACCACACCTTAATCAAAGTAGAACCCCAATCCAAGAAGTTTGTTATGTTCTCTTAAAGCTGTGTGTCCTCTGACCTTGTTTATTGACTGGAAAACCTTGAAAATATTTTACGGGAAACCACACCTGGAATGTTCTCTTGAGGCTTGGCCCCACGTGGTAGTAGACTTCTCCATTCCTTACCCTAATTTGCTTTCCTCTACTGCTCATACATTCAGAGCCATTTGAATTACCTATTCAGTAAAATAAACAGATAAATCCTGTTAGGTACCTTGCTAATTGGAAGTTTAAACGAGACAGTATCTCATTTTCCTATTTTATCTGTTATAGCTATCACATCAAAGAAGCCGACTATGACAACTTTCCCTATCTTTATTATTAACACAGTTACAGTAAGATTATAGATAAAAATGAAAGGAGATAAAAAATATTCAGGAAGCTTTATTTCCCTAGGTTTAGCTGTTCTGTGTTTGAATGTTCTTTAATTATACCAGAGGTATCCTTTGTTATAATCATCATATTTTTAGACCAATTTTCAGTTATTTTGTTATTTGTTGTTACATGTATTAATACACTTCAAAGTCAGAAAAGTCATCGATCAAGAGGATAAAATTCATGATAACTCTAAACAGCCTTTGGGTGAGTAGTCTTCAACACTATACACTAATAACTGTAGCTGACTTAGTGTGCGGGTTTTTTATTTCCTCAAGGATCATCTAAATTACCAACTATTTTGTCTAGAATTGCTGTTGCATATCACAGTTGAAAAAGCACAATAATGGCTGTGAATCTGAGCAATTTTTTGTGAAAGATCATTCGAGTAAAGCATATGTTTCAAAAGGTGCTGCTTTGTAGTTCAAAAGAAATTGTATTTTACTATTTGTGCAGATAAATGCTCCTACAGTGAAAAAGTTGCTTGAATTCTGGAATGAACTTTGCTGCTTCTATATTCTGCATTTTGCCTTTTTTTTTCCTAGATGTGAGTTTCCTAATTGCAGTTTTTCCTGCATGCTGCTTGAAATCAAAGTTACCTACTCTGAACCTTGTATGATACATTGAAATAGACTGAATTTATGATTATTCCTTTAATACAGTTTTCCAATTTATTAAAGTGCACGTTAGGGCTTCATTTAATACTGAATACTTTAAATGCAACTATTGACATTCAGATTTTTAATTCAGAGGATAATAAATACTTTGCATTTAGTTAGTGTATTATACCCAACATTTATGAGCATCATGCAAATGCTATCTTAAGTGTTGCATTGTTACTGTAAATCTTGTCACACCTTATGAAATAGGCACACATAGCACAGAGGAACTCTAAGTAGGTTAAGGTCATTAATTAAGAACATAGAATTCAGAATTTCTCCTCACACCATTAAACTAGCATTTTTCGCACCTGATGTAATAAATATTTGGTTCTGGGATTTCTTCTTAAAACTAACATACTCCACAGTGTTTGCTCAAAATACTTCTCTCAGTTCCATACAAGAAGAATAGGAATGAATGCTTTACTTGCGTGCCACAATCCCGGCAGCTGCGTGGCGTTAAGATAGCTTGGCTCATATGGGGCCTGAGATCTCTGCCTCAATTCTTTTATTTTGGTGTAGTTGTTCTATGAAGATGTAAGCTTCCTGGTAAGTTAGCTCATGCGACATATGCCACTATATACTTTTTTTCTGAGGAACTATATTTTCTTCCTTTGGGTATAAATCTATGATTCCTGTTGGTAGAGTAAACCTTAGCTGCAAACTTCTGTGTCAAGGCTTTTCTGGATGAAGCTGTTTTTACAGATGCTTGTCATTCAAGTTTTGGACGAGGTCCTAAGCGACATGATGCAATGTCAAAGCTTTTCCAGCTTTGAGCTGTAGGTTTTACTTAGATGTCTTCCTAAGATCCCTTCCAACCTAGAGTATTTTTTATTGTGAGTTTCTCCTAAAGTATTTTACAGCATTTACAGCATGATTATAAACTGCAATTAAATATAAAGGATAGAAAGGGTAAACATACTTAAATGTCAAATTGTAAAATACTTAATGTATTTTGTTTTCTGTTTTGCAAGCTTGAGTTGTTGCTTATGAGTTTGCCTCGTTATAGTAGGAAGAGTTTGCCTGCTACAAGATAAGGATATATGGATTAGTATTGCCACTGCACACTTAGGTTATTTGCCATCTTGTAGGAAGAAGAAAATATGTGTAGTCTATAGTCAACTATAGTCTGTAAGTCTAGAAACAAGAGCATACCCTTCTGGAACAGATAGTATGTTGAGTGTGGAAAGTCTTAGCAAAATTTCTAGGCCATAAGAATACATGTTTTTTTCAGTGAAGTTAACAGGTACAGGTATAAATGAAGCAAGCATGATATAAAAGATACATGGTTGATTACAATATTTCTTGATAGTTCAAAAAACTTTGATTTGGGGGAAGCTATAAATAAATAGGGTAGGGTTTTTTAAACAGTTGAAGCCTCTTTCTTTCACTGTGCAAAGTACCTTCACTTGCAGGTCTCGCTTCATAAGCAATGTGTTCCTATGTTTAATGGAGTAAGTTGAAGGAGAGAAATACATTCCGCTGGTCACAGAAACATTACTCTATTTTTTCCTTTTCTGTAGTTGAATAATAGATAATCAGTGCAGATGTCTATTTGCATCTCCAATTTTTGTTCCACGTGATGAAAGACATCTCAAATTGTAAAATGTGTACAACAGTGAGATCAGTTGAGATCACCGCTGACTTTTTCAGATTCCTGATATGAATTAGTTCTTCTTCAAATACGTTAAAGCTGTTAAATGCACATGTCGCCCTTCTACTTGTTTAAAGTTTATAAACACTTGTTTATAAATTAGTTTTCCAAAGTCTTCTGCTTTACCCATGGTGTTTGCCTTGGAAAATGGAACAGTTGAACTCTTGAGCTGCTTTTTAGCTCAAAAAAATCAGACCAGTGTCAGTGAATGTGAAGGATCTTTTTGAATGTCTTCTTGAAATTCTGGTTACAGAGAGGATATAGGAATGGATTTAAGGTGGAGTTCACGTAGCCAAGCCAGATAGTGAACATGTGTAAATCTGAAAATTGTTTATGCCTGTGGAAAGCTATTACCATAAATAACACAAAATAGGGAATCCAGCATAGCATAAAGGCTGCCATTATGACCCCTAACTGCTTAGCTGCTTTCCTCTCCCTGTTCCCATGCAGTCCTTGAGTGTGTCTTTTGGAGTGGGTGTGCAGACTCTGCCATGTTTTTCTCAGGTAAGTCAGTCCTCTGAAATCCCTGTTCTCAGTCTTTTCCTGAGGATTGCAGGCTCTTTCAGGACTAGGGTTGGAGTTTCCTCTGGAGGTTGCCTCCTCTGTGAAAGTATGGTTGTCCGATGCATCACTTAAGTCACTATCTTGTGAGCCAGGCTCCTTTTCATTTTCGTTCTCTTTTGTTACACACACACACTTTGTTCCTGCTTTATTCAGGGCTCGCTCAGACTGGGCAGTGGTGAGAGGAAAACATCTCCATTTAAGAACTTTCCTATTGCTCTTGCTGACAAATGTATTTGAAGAGTTGTCAGCATTACTGAAATGTACCTCTGCCTCTGTATTTCTGGCCTGAGGTGAACTTTGCTTGTCTTTAGGAGGGGTGTTCTCATCTAAGATTTGCTTTTGGAGGCAAATATTTTGTTCATCCTTCATCTTACTGTGAGGCAAGGTGCTTTTTTCTGAGAAAGACTTAGATGATCCATTGATGAGCTCTCGGTGTTGACAGTGTTTTCGAACAGCTCTGAATATTTTATAGTAGAACCACAACATCATGATAGAGGGTAGGTAGAAATTGACAATGGCTGTCAACACTTTAAACCAGGTGACTTCAGAGAATTCAGTTTCACACTTTTCCTTTACTTCTCTTTCCCCGTTATTAGCAAAAACATGCCATCCTAGGATTGGAATGACCCACATGAAAGAGAGCAACCAAACTGCCAAAATCATTAGCGATGCTCTCATTTTTGTTCTGTACTTGAGATATTTCAGTGGTTGCTGAACTGAACGGTAACGGTCAATGCACAATATGAAGAGATTGAAAATGGATGCAGTACTGGCCACATAATCCATTGACAGCCAGAACAAACAGGCTGATAAGCCTAGAGGCCACACAGGACTAAGGAGATAAACAATATTCAGGGGCATAACAGCTGCACCAACTATAAGATCTGCAACAGAGAGGCTGACAATGTATAAATTGCCAACTGTTTGCAACTTCTTCTCAGTTTTCACAGCATATAGTACTAATATATTCATGACAATAGTGATCAGTGAAATGCTTCCCAGGAACAGACCTAGAAGAGCTGAGTGAGAGTTAACTGAGTACTCTGTTCTGTTTTCTGTCATCTTTTCTGCAAGAACACAGAAAAAAGTCAGAGAAGATGTCCAAGCTTTGGAAAATAGGTCTTGGTTTACACTCCTGGATGAAAACGTGTTGGATGGCTTTGTGATTTTTATTTCCAGAACTCTAGGGGGGAAAAAAAAAAAGAAATATGCTCAGTCATTGTAATACCAAAATAAAATAATAAAACTGACCTCTGCTTCAGCTTAGCACTGTCCTTTTAGGACTTTCCTCAACAATGAATTTTTTCCAATTATTTACATATGGGTCATTTAAGATGTGCTCTAAGAAAAGTACTGGAGCAAACTCTATGAACCATTCCAAAATGGTTTGCAGAGGTGTTCCATGAGGCTTCATATACTTTTCACTGGAGAAGAATTATCAGTCCACACTGTTGTAATTTATTATATCTCATTAAATAGCTAATAAAGAACCATAACATAAACTACATATTGGCAAACCAATTTGAAGTGTGTTAATACAAATTAACGTGTTTTGTGCTAAATAGTTTCAAACAAGCCAGTGATTATTTACAAACTACATCTAATAGTTTGAGAATACAGCAGTTGGATTTAATTGTTCACCAATAACAGCGTATCATATGATGTCAGGTAACAAGGTATTCCAAACAACACAAAGATTCCAGCCAGTATACACCTTTAGCTGATATAGAGTCTTAAGTAACTCCTAAGGTTGCAGTCAGTGCCTACGTATTCACTGGGAGGCAGTTGCTCAAATTATGAGTAACTTTTCCTACAAAATGTAGGATTACAGAGATTTCAAACACTTAAAGATGTCAGACCTATTTTATTTCAAATAGAAACTAATAAAAGTTCAGGGAAAATAATAGGATTTTTCAGGATTAATAAGTGTCTTGCAACCTCTCAAATGTATATAAATATAGCGTTTTACACTGAAGTTTACTAGTTGTTCAGGTGCCTGAGAAACAGATGCAAGAACTTTTCTCCAGTAATTTGGAGAAGCTGCATCATTCCTGCATGTCTGCCATTGCAGTTTGCTGGAAAGTAAATTGGAAATAAGAGGACTTGAGACTGAACACATAGCAAACCTTTCCTTTATGCCTAAGAAAATTTTAAATAATTAATCTTTGATAAATAGGCTGTCTTTATTTGCTTAGAAATTTGGCATCAGCCATGTCTAGAGACTTTGATGTAAAAAATTCTTTAAAATCTATGTTCCCATGAATAGAATGCCTAGGAATTCCAATACATGCGTTGCAATTAAAAAAAACCACAAAAAGGCAACCTACTAAAGACTCACCATTTCTAACACAAAACCTGTTTTGCAGTGGGCTGCATCTGCCTACTTAGGTTTGTTTTCTAGTCACATTCATTTCTACATACTGTTTTGCAAGTATTATCAAAGAGAGGCAGATTTCATTTGTACAGACACAGTGGTGTGTAGCTTTATGGTGACTTGATCTGCATCAGGAACCAAGTGTAGGTGCATACTTCACTTGTGAACATAGAGATTATTTATCGAGATCATAGGCCTTAATTATAAAATGTGTAATTTCTTCCATTTTTTTAACACAAGCATAGTAACTCAAATAGGGGCAATAAAAGGGGAAAGGAAGGGAGGGAATGTAGAGCTAAGAAAAGCACTTTTTCAAAGTTGAGTACATGTGCTATTCCGTTATCCAGAAATTCTCTAAACCTTTGGTATCTTCTGCTTCCCAGCTGCTAACTTCATGAATTGATCAAAAGTCAAAAAAATTATTAATAATATTTTAAGTCTTGGAGCGTGTGATCAGTTGACAAATTCTATTTCCAAGATAGATACGAAAAATGTCTGTGAGATTGTTACGTATTTTCTGCCAACATTCTCTTACAGTGCTTGTCTGATTTCATGTTCTGATAAATCCCTTAAAGCAATGAGGAAGGAAACTGAGATTGTAGACATACTAGCTCAAAATATTTACACAACTAACACTGAGAGATAGGTATGGGATTTCTCATCCCTGTTATTCCTAATGTGGTCAATGCAACAGATTAGTCAATATTCCATATTTCATATCAAAATTCAATAATTCAATATTTCATGCTAAATTTATCTCTTTCCTATTCCAGTAATCAGCGCTGAAGATAAAATGTTTGTGTGCTTTCTTACAAGAAGTCAAGCTTCACTTACAGGTCCCTGGTATTATGAAAGATGTGGGCTTGGTAGCAGTAGCATTCATAGGCAGAGGAAATACGTACACTGTGGGCTATGCGCTCAAGAGCCTTGTTCTGTAGTTCTGTATTTTGTACAGCCTTCAAGCTCTATCGTGTAGTTCTTCAGTGACAGCTAGTCACAGATGTCAGAAGATCAGAGAGGCCTCAAGCATCTCCTGTTTGACAATAAGAACAGAAATTACTCCATGGATCTTAAACCAACATCTCTGGTGACAGAAAACAGTTATATCCCAATCTATCATTGTCTTTCCACAGCTGCACACTGTAATTTCTCTGCCGAGGTTAAGTATCTGTGGAGCATGGTCAAGTCAAGAAGTTGATGTTAATTGTTTCAGAGACCTCGTAAAGAATTGAGTGATCTTCACCCCTATATACTTCTGTTAAAATTTATGGCAAAATGAAGGCAAAGAAGGCAACTTTGAGTCTTCAACAGAAAGAATAACAGCAACACTGGTTATCTGATTAGACAGCTCTCCTCAGTTATTTAGGAACTGCACAGGGAATAAAACATAGAGCAGGATACAGTAAATGATGTTCACTGTTTCCCAAACTTTCTCTTTAGCACTGCTGTGGTGAGATAGGGTAGGATTTAGGAAGCAGTCTGTAGAACTTGATAAGGAGTACTTCGACTCCAAAGAAGGCACAAAGTCTAGTTTTTCAACTCATGCCCCACTTTTATTAAAATGTCTTTACTTACGTGACAAAGCTTGATTATTTTTCTGTTTTGGAAGAGCTCACGCAGGCTATAAAAATCCAAGAGTGTTGTAATATGCAAATCATTTGAGAGCAGTTAAGAGCAGGAAAAATTCAGGGTAATGCATTTGATCTTTTAAAAATACCCACGCTAACAGGTACTCCATATTTACAATAATTCTGTCTTATAATGTAATTTTCATCACAGTGTCATTTGAGCAGTTTATAGTTTATCTTCTCTGCTTTATAGAGAGCTGGCCATGTACTATAAAATTCTAAAGTGAATTTGAGGAGCAGGTCAAAGCGATCTGCTACACATAATACAGTAACATTACATCTAAATTCAGCAAAGGCTCTTCAAATACTGTACTGACTACTATACTGGTTTTTTCTGTCTAGACTGTATTGGGTCTGTATTAATTCAGACACCCTAGACAAGCAATGTTGATTTAGAAATTAAATATATTTTTTAAAATTATTTTTAACTTCAGTGCAGTGCAAGCAACTTAGTCTAGCTTTGACCCTCTGACATCTTCCATTTTAACAAGTCCATTTACATGTTAGGGACTAATATGGCTGGAGTGAGACTATATCTGGTAACTAACATCTACAGTATTAATTGCTGGAATGGACTTGCAAGAATCATTTGCTCTAGAGTGAGTAGATCTTGAGGCTAACTTAGGGTATTGAAGCTTTACAGTAACATTGCATTTTCTCTATTGAACAAATTGTATTTTTCACATATGATCTTTTACAACCCTGATTTTGTAAGTATTCTCCCACCAAAAACAGTATTGTAAGGCTCTCGGTAATTTATGTTTTGGAGTGTATTGATAAGAAAAGAAGTCACTCTGAAAGGTAACTGGAATGGGATCTCCATACCTTCATCATGAAAGTTGTACAGTCACCCCATACTTCCTACCTATCTAGTTTTATTTGAAGCCAAAGCATACCTCTGAATCCATTGAAAAGATGTACCAAGGAACTGAAGTGGCCACAAAATGCTTAGAATATAGCCAAAATGCAATGTTGCCTCTGTATGATCGTCCTTGCAACTGTCTCTGTGTTTCCTAGCACGTGACACCATGTGCTGCTGCTCCTTCTGCCCGAGAACTTTCAGATCATGCAGAATTCTCCTTGAACAGTAAGTTATGATAGGGGTTTAGCAGCGTATCAGAGATACGGCACTCCCACACTCATGTGTACAGGAAAGAGAATTTGGCAGCTTTCTGGAATGTTCTAAGGGCACGAAGAAGACTTCCAACGCTGGAGCCTTTGTGCATTTTGCACTCAGCAGTGTCCTTGCTTTTTCGATAAGGAGTAAGTTGCAGAGTGCCTACATCTCCATCTTCTACACAGGCCAACAGAACAGTACAAGAGAAAACATAAGGTTGACCTAAGCAGCAAAGGTAACTGCACACTAAGTAGTCTACGGAGAAGTTGGATTTAGTTGCAGAAATGTTACGGGTCAGTGCCCTCTAACACTGCTCTATATTTGGAGTTTATGCCCTTATATCACAGTCTTGCCCACTAAGCTTACACTGAATTGCTTCACAATTGCTGCCCTCTGCTAGAATTAGCACATTTTGCCACACAACTGTGTCTAATGGCAGATAACCAGAAAATCATAAGCCTTACTCCTTATTATGAAATTCCTTGAGCACCTTTTCTGTGCTCTAGGGAAGACTGTAATCACCACATTATTTTCTTAAACTTTCTACCATCATTAGTAATGTTGTACCAAATATCATTAGCAGTTAGTCATCATGAAAACACTATTTGCAATAACAGCTTTTTGCTCTGCACTGAGGCACCATTTTGTAGTGACTGTAGACTGGCATATGTACCCCTGTTCAAGAGCAGCTCATTTAATTCTTTGTCTGTAACTCAGTTCCCAGAAAAGGAGCTGCAGTAATACTGAATAAATGTGTTTTAATCTGTGGACACTTTAACTCCAATTACTGTAAGCCGAAGCTCGCTAATACAGAGCAGATTTTAAAGAAGACAGTCACCCTAGAATCTTGGAATTTCTAAACCCTGACCTCGCCATAAAATGCCTTCTTTAATTTTTACCGTCTGTAAATACCTTTTTATACAAATCATGATTTATTTGTTAT